ACACAGGATTAATTTTTTTGTGCAATACTTATTTTCAACACTTCTATTTAATACATCAAGGGTCGATTTAGACACCTGTGTTTTTTATTTTTGTGGTTTATTTTTTACTATATCTTTGCATTTGCCGATCTATTCTATATAAGAGTTGTATAGAAGTTGAATATAATTCATTAATGAAAAGAGTCATACTATCCTCAGATTCATTAATTACTTTAGTACTTGTCACCGGGTTTAGTTTCGTCTTTCGTCTGAAAACAGTAATGTGACTTTTTTTTTTTACTTTGGGTGTTCTCAAGTATCTCAATAGATCTATTAAATAATGATCATGATGATACTCAAGCATTTCATTCAATGACAGTATTTATTGAATGAGTACTCTTTCTGTTTTTCGTGATCTATGTTATGCCACCTAGAATATTTTAAAAAAATTCTACTCAACCGGCTGCTGAAACTTTTAACTTCGGCTATATCAGTTTCTCTTTTAATGATTTTATTAATTTAAATCTTTTGTTGCAACAACAACAGAATCTATTTATAGAATCATTAGCGAAAGTTGCATTACAGCAACAAGAAATTAAATTTTTTTCTTGCAAATATTAATATTTAGATTTTATTAAGCGAAAAATGAATAACAGTATTCATTACGGTTTATTAAAGAATAAATGATGGGATGTTTTATTACTAGTTTTAAAAGCTTCTAGAATTAAAAATAAAATAACTATGTTTGTCATATCAGTTAGAAATTTGTTAAGAATTCATTATTTATTACTATAAACTCTGTATACAAGATCCCCCAGATATCAGGCCCACCTCCATTTTTTACTAATTATTTTCTTTTTTTTACTAATTAATTTTTTTGGTAGAAAGTAAGAGACCCGGGTCCTTTATACGGCAGTTTACGGTATTTTTGATATGCAAAAAATTAAAAGTAATGCTTGAGCGACCTTTATCAATAGTATATTTTTGAAGAAAAAAGATGGGTTGTATCTCACTGATTTGTTTATCGAAATGGTAACTCACTTGGTTAATTTATTCAATTTTTGACTATTTAAAATTTTGACTCTGATCCATTGAGTAAGGTGCTTGAGAACACCCTTTATCATTCTAATAGTTGACTATACAATGTCAAGCAAATACGCAGGTTAAAAATATGACTTCCAATTTTAATAAAGGTAAATTTTTTTTTTGCTTATCATTCTAATTTTTGTTTGCATATGATTGGAAAATATATTAATACTGTATGAAAGGCTAATTTAATTTTTTTTTTTAAGATTTACTAGTATTTATATTCTTTATTTTTATTGATTTGCCAATTTCTAGTTTTGTTTTACATTCTTCATTTTTATTGATTTCGCAGTTTCACAATTTTATTTTTTTTAGCCAAAATCGAATTTAGGGTTTTGACTTCACTGGTATGAAACCTCTAGTTTCTTAAAAACTATAACTGCCATATCAAACAATTTTGAATGTTTGATTTCAGTTGCCCAAAAACTATTCTCGAAAAAAAAAACAAACTTGAAAAATAAAGTAAATTATTTTGTTAACGTTAAATATAAGGTTATGTAATATGATGCAAATCATCTAAAGATATCCAAAATCATAACTTCTCAATAAGTAGGGTTTTTGCCTTAAAAATCACTTTCTGACATTTCCGATCGGGTTAATTCGGACAAAAATAAACCTGAGTACCAGTTTCATCTTCATATGTTAATCATCTTTTAATTTATTGATTCAATAGTTTATCGAATAACTATTGAATTAATAAAAGTAAAAGATGATTAACATATGAACATAAGCCGGTACTCAGGTTTATTTTTGTTTGAATTAACCTGATCGAAAATGTCAGAAGGTGATTTTTAAGGCAAAGACCGCAAATATTAAAAAAAATTCATAATATTATAGTTTTAGATACGTTCTATAAAATTAAGATTTTTTTTTTTTACAAATTTGGACTTAATCATCGAGAAGATACGATTTAAAAAAAAACATAATATGATTTTAACGTGGCTTTATATGGGGTCGTTTAAAGCCATGTACCTATGTGACTTTTTTGTATAAATTAACTAACCGGAATTGCGAAATTTTGTTTATATGGATCAGCCCGAAGAAGTCAAAAAATAAAAAAATACAAAAAGACAAAAAATGAGAGTCTTAACCTATCTTGGAGCACTAATTAAAAATGTTGGGAAGGCAATTTTACTTATAACTCTTTTCTTATATCAACACCGAACTAACCCTAATTCTAACCTTAATTTTAATTTAACCAATTAAAACATTAAAATCACATGGGTACATGGCTTTAGCCATCCCCTTTATATGCGCAGAATCTATGAACAGTTTTTATGTACAGTATAGACAGTCAAATTCACGTGATATTGCTAAAACCACTAAACTTTAACTGTTTCTAGCAACTATTCACATGATTTAAACTGTCCCTAAGAATTTTCTGTAGCTTGTTCGCTTTATATAATAAAGCAATCACGTTATCACCATATAAGGATAGATTATACAATTGTCAATCAATTAATTTGACGGTATTACAAAAAAAAAATGGTTACATATTCTAGAACAAATGAAATTTAGTCTTCTAGAATTTTTTTTCTAGTTATTGTCTATTAATCATTATGAGAAAGTCTTGGAAGTGGAACTAGCGATAAAATAAACAAATATAAGGCATTTAGTGAGTGTCAAAGACTCATGATATGGGACATATTGAGGAACAGGTACCCTTGGTGACTGCTATCTATGCAGAGTTGAAGCTGTGATAGACAAATGTAAAGAATTCGTTATTTATCAAAAACCTGTAGAAATGAGTTATACTACTGAAACATATTATTCAGAACATTATAACTGAAATAAAATTTCAGCTGACTGAAAAAACTTGGTTGCTTTCATGAAAATAGAATCGGTGTTGAGAAGAGTAAGAATAAAACCTTCAGTTACTGTCAAAAATCTATTTATCTAGGTGATATTGATGAAATATATATTTTTGAGCATTGTCACTATAATAAAATTGATGTTGAAAAGAATGATAGAATGAATATAATTGGTTATTGCAATTGAAATGGGATCGAAATGAATACAAGTTTGAAGCATTTGAATGGTATTCAAATTCAGTGAAAACAGTAATTTGAATAGACAATATAAGTATAGATTTTTTATCACAATGGCATAAGCGTGGTTGGTACATATTTTTGCAGTATAAATCTCTGTAGAAATCATGGTCATCGCAAAACTAATAACTTTATCTAATTGCTTATGTCCGGCAAGTACTGAAAAGAATTTTATACTTATCACAATTGTCAGTAGATGCATAGGATATTGCTATGAAAAAGGAAACAGAGTTGAAAGGATGAGAAGGTGTTTGAATATTTTAAAAATCTGCAAAGATGGGTGTTATTTGTGAACTTGTCAAAGAACACCCTGATGGTACTTATAAAGCACTCCAAATATTCTTGATGTGTAAGTATAATTTTATTAATAAAAATGCTTTAATACTAAATAGTTATACTAAATCATAATACTTTTAGCTGGTAAAACTTATTACACAAGAACAGATTTATTGCAAGTTAAATTCTTCCCTGGAGCCTCTTCCAAAATCTACTTTTGATTTTCTTGCCAATCTTAAGAAAAAATCTTTCGATCATTCAACATTTTACAACCTTATTACCTTGCAAGCTTCAAATAGTAGTTTCCTTCCTTTCGATGAATTAGCCAATCTTTTCAATTTTGAATCTCAAAATCAACTTTTAGAATTGTATAAATGTTAACACAGTGAAGATCGTATTTTAAAGTGATTCTAGTATGTGAACTACTAGTATGATTTTATAGTTCTTATAGTTCTTATTAAAGGACTACAGAAGTGTATAGGACAGTGTTTATGAATGTACTAAACATTTCATTAACAAAACAGTTAACGATTTTAACTGTTCAGCCTGGTGATAAAGTATGTTATTCATTTATTCATTTATCATGTTTATTTTTCATGTGCATGTTTATATCAAATATCGAATATTAAAATTATTTATTAATAACAGATAACTTGGAATTGGGCTGGTAATACGCATGATATTGTCCAAACTGATGGTCCAGCCAGATCTTGTATAAAATCTACTGCTGCTGATGCCTATATATTCAATAAATATACTCAGTGTTGGCATTAGACATATGTCCAATGCCAATACTGGATATACTCAATTGATATACATGTTTTTTTTTTTCAGTTCTCAAAAATATTTTTTTTTTCTTGTTTATTAGTGAATCCACCAAGCAGTTATTTGATCATGATTAACAAAACATCTGGTGCATATTTCTATATATGTAGTGTAGCCACTCATTGTTAGCATGGTGGTATGTGGAGTGTAATTATGATCAGTGGTACATACACTACCTTAGGTAGATAATGGTATGTATTACTTATGTATTTATTTTTTGTCGATTGTTAAATCTATCACTCAATTATTTATATGTATTATTTACTTTTTAATTTAAAAATAGATCCTAAAACTAAATGACTAAACGACTTACTCAAGAAATTATCTCAATAACACATATTAATTCTTAAATGTCAAAGTATTGGTGCATATCAAAGGTAATGATTATGTTGCAAAATCTCAGTTATGAAAAACCTTGATAAACTTCATATAGCATTCAATAAATATAAAGATAAAAAAAACAATCTTTAAATCTTTATTGTTCGTTATAATATTTCTTAGTTTCTTAAGTGCACAGGTTTTTTTTTTTTGTTGCTAATGTTAAATCACATTATACATTACTGCATTACTATATATACCTAATTGGTTAATCAAAAATACCTTTTTTTAATGTCACGTTTACGTGTTGTCAACAATAATTTAATTGGTTGAGATCAGTATAAATTTTTATTAACATTATTGTAAAAACTCAAAAATGCCACAAACACCACCAAGCAAGCAAGACACCACCAAGCAAGCAACACCACCACCAAGCAACACACTACCAAGCAAGCAACACCATGCAAAATGACTTCAGGTAGGTGATTTTTTTTTGAGAATTTTTCTATTTTATATCATTGAAGTATTTTTCTTCCTATTTAGGTGCCTTGTATATTTTTTTTTACTTGAAATGTCTTTTTCTTGTGGATCCCGCTCCTTATGGAATATCTATTTTCCTTGCAAAACCCTCTCCTTATGAAGTGCCTATTTTCCTTACAGAACTCTCTCCTTATGGAGTGCCTATTTTTCTTGTAGAACCCTCTCCTTATAGAGTGCTATTACTTTATAAAAATTAAAATTTGTTTAGTAGTTTACTAACTTTGAAAAAAAAGTTAATTTTTTTTTTATAAAAGTAAATATTTTAATTTTTTTCTTTGTATATATGTAGTAAAAATACATGATTGTTGCAGTGACCCTGAGAGAATGGTCTTAATTTCCTTAGACAAGGATATCAGTGAGGAACAATTAGAGGAGTGGCTCCACTACAATTTGGTTCAAGTATTTTTTCATATTAGAAAATATGATTTTGATACGTAAGTTAACATTTAATATGTATTTGTATTGTGATTTGATTATAAGTTTTAATACTTAAATTATTTTTTTAGGTTTGGCCATTTGCATTTTTATACCAAGATAGCTGCTGCCAATTTTTTTTATACAATGAAAAACGAAGAAATGAAAGGGGGTCCTTTCAACTGTACCATTACATTTGAGAAAGCAAATTATTTTAGAACTTCTTTGAAGACTGGTTATGTAATTGTAAGCATATATCTATCATTTTTTTATTTTTACAGTATGTATATTTAAGTAAATGCATTATATTGATAAAATGGTTATATGTATTATTACTGAAATAGTACAGAAAGCCAGAGCAACCAATAGCTCTGTCGTTAGTTAAAACGGTCAAAAGACTCAAAGAAAAATTTGAAGAACTTGAGGCAAGCAAGAGAAAAAAACCTTTTCAAAATAGAGAATAAGGGTTAAGCCGGGTTTTTTTTTAAAAAAAAGTTGGCTATTTGATTTTTTTTCAAATTTGTTTTTTTTTTCAATTTTTTTGATTTTTTTTAGATTTATTTGTACATATATATGTATACATATTACAAATTATGTAATAAATTTTGTTGGTTTTAAAGCAAATTATTTTTATGTTATTTAACTATTAATTATGAGTGCTATCATAAAAGTGCATATGTATACAAGACCCGGGTCTGGTATATTCTACCAATTTTAAAACCCTAAATAGATCTAGGGATCTGTTGTACATATAGACATTAGTCTGATAATCGGGGAAGGCTTTGATGTGGGAAAAATAAATTTATATAATATACCATGTTTTAATATTATACCCTGGTTTTTTAATAATTGTCCTATAGTTTCCTATAATATACCCGGGTCTGTTTCAATTTATGTACCAAAATTTTATCTATATTACAGTTCCACTATTTTGGTTGGTCTTGTATATGCACTTTTACAGTAGGGTATAAGTATTATAGTCCTGGAGAACCTTTGTTACCAATAGTATGACCTACAAATTATACTATATCAGTACTTATATTGGAGTTGTTAATTACTGGTTTGTAGGGTTATTAATAGAGTACTCCAAGCTATAATAAAACATATAAACCACTTTAGTTTAAAACTGAAGTGGTTTATATGTTTTATTATAGCTTGGAGTACTTCATTAACAACCTTACTGGTTTGGGTTAAGTTGGTTTGAAATTAGTCTCAACCCAAACCAACTTGGATTACTAAATTTTAATATAATATTCTAGTTTTGTTTCTAGTTGAACCAGGTTGAATATTCTATTTTAACTCATTTTAGTCCAAACTAGAGCAGGGCCAATGATTCTGTGATTTACAGAAAACAGAGTTTTTCTAAATTACAGTCAGCCACAGAAATCACCCTTGTTCACCGCAAAATATCAAGTGCCCTAATCTAGTCAGGGATTTTACTAAATTAGAAAATCACATTCTAGAATGATCTCTGTGTCATTTTGTGAATTTGATTGGCTGTGTAACATTTTTTTTTACCGTGGGATCATTTGATATTTTTTATTCGATATTAAACGATATACAGTTAGCTAATACAGTATATGAACTTTAGTAGGTCTCTATAATATAATTGTTTAAATAGCAAATTTAATTCTGTAACGTGTGAATGGCGTATAAATAGCTTGCTTTTAAAACTATGTTGCAATATTTAATATTGATATGTAAATTTTAGTAGTTCTCTATAAGTTAATCGTTTAAATAATTGTTAAAATTTGTTAATTCGTAATTTTAGCCAAATTAATAAAATAAAACAAAAAATATCTCAACATAGTTTTAAAATAAAATACATTATTTATATATCATTTATAAGTTACATAATTGAATTTGCTCTACTAGAACGAGAGTTATGACCTGACGCATGACGATAGTCATGCTAAGGTTATTATTGCGAGGATCGTCCCCTGGATAGCCTGAAATTGTGAAACAGGGGTATTTAAGGTTTAGAATTGTGGAACTATAACGATAGTGCCTTTTTTCTTCGCTGCCCGACCTTGTCTGGCTCTATCGTCTGTGGCGCCCTTAATAACA